GCTGCTGTGCTCCACAATCCTGCTCCACCTTGCAGCCGTGTCCCGTCTGCTGCCAGGTTCAACCATGCCCAGCAAGTGCTTGCATTCAAGCATCACCTGTTTATGGCCGCGTTTGTCCAGCACCAATCACGTGTGCAGTAAACAGTAGACTTGGCATATCGGTGTCTAACTGTGGAGCTCCACAGAGCTGTTGTTCGCCATGTGCAGCACCATCTTGTTGTCAGTCGCAGTGCTGCTGTGGATCATGTTGCAACTGCGGCGCTTGCGGAGGTTGTGGTTGCGAGAATTGTTGTTGCGGATGCTGCAGGAGGCGTTAAAACACAGCTTCTGATGGTCCACAGAAATCAAATGCCACTTATTTCTTGACATAATGCTTTTATTCTCCATAAATGTAGCAGTAATTTTACTGTAACGTGTCTGTATATACTGGTGACAACTACTTTTTCACTTATTTGTCTGTGATGCTCTGATCTTCAAGCTGTTTGTGAAAAATAAATACAATAATAACACTTTTTTACTAACATTCGTTTATCAATCATTAGTACCATTTTTAAAAGTAAACTGAAGTAGCTCACTGCAAAATTTGTCACTAAGAGACTATCAGTCAATCTGGCTTCGACTATTAAAAAAATATTATAGCGAATTCTAAGAAGACGAATTATACAGAACTCAATACCTGTATTTCTGCTATATTTTCTGGCTTTTAACACTTCGAAACTACAAAAGGATAAAAGTGCACAGTCAACAAAGAGAAAGCAGGTTCTTAAAGCAAACTGTTACAGTAAAGCCAGTAATACAGCAACAGTATTTTAGCAAAAGCCAGATAAAAAACAAAAGCGTCATTATCCTTCACCAGCTTCTCCTCTCTCAAATATTCTTTAAAAAATCATTTAAAAATTTTTTGCCAGATTTCATGAAAGGTTTCATTTTGTGGCATTATTTTTCGACAGATATCGACTGTTAGTGAAACAGCAATCCTACAGAGCATTTAGCCAACGTCTTCAATGAAGCTCTCATTCATTTGTGAGTTTCAATTGACGAACTTGCTATCATTCAAAATTTGGCGACTAGACCAACACTCCCGTACTGTACTAACGATGCGTTACTTTTTTCAACGGTTCTTATTAAACAAAGAAAGCAATGCAGCACATGGTCCAACATACGTATAGATATCGATTTTTAATGTAACAACAATCCAATAATGGAAGAGGGACACATGATGATCTGCAACAAACAGGAACTTATCATCATGCCAAAGTCACTGATGTCAAGTGACAATTTCCAACTCACAACTTACTGAAAGCAGATATTATTGTGCTGTATCAAACGACATTTCGTAAATTGGCAGTTTGCCGGCGAAAATTTTTTTCTCACTTCTCAAGAACTGCCACGACATTTCATTATAATGATACGTAGATGGTATCCGCTAAGTCAGATGTTAAATATTTTGATGCTGTTCTGTAAGACGTTTTTGTTTATGCTTATTCTTACAGTAGGGTTCCTGTCACTGGGACTTATTTAAGCTAACCCTTTTAGTATTTTATATTTTATTTTATCTTATTTTATTTTTTATTTTTTAGCGCACTAATGAGGTCGAACAGCCGTTGTAGATGTAGGCTAGACTAGTACTTTTAAAATTATGAAGTCTTGTCCACTATTTGACAGAAAACTGCATTTTTTTCTTGTCCTCTGCTTAGTGTTACTTATTTGTTTTTTTAAAGGATGGGTGGAGTAATTAGCTCCGAAACGGTTCTGGAAGATAATGAATGCATGCGTAGATTTTCGGGACTCCAGCCCATCTCTGATAATGATCCTTTTTGGAACCAACTTCTTTCCTTTAACTTGAATTTGAATTCGGACGACAGGTAAAAAGCTTTTGTTGAAAAGTTTGAAACTTATGCTTCAGAAATAAAGTAATGTTACGTTTGTCTTTAAATATTTTCAGGAAAGAAATGAAGGAATTTGATGACTCTCTGAATAACTTATTACAGTCTTTAATGTATAATACTCAAACTACCGGTAATTTTGCTGCATTCATACGTGTTTTTTTGAGAAGGGCATCCGAGGTTCGTACGTCTGAAATGTGTCGGAAGTAGGAGTTCTTTCTTAAAAATATTACTCGATTTACTTTTTTCAGCAAACTCGCTTTTATCAAAAAATGCTCCATTTTTTTTTT